CACTGCCATAGGCTCACCCTATGGTTACAATAATGGAAAGAACATCATACTTAACTTTGGCTACTCTTTAATTGCATAAATAAGAATTACTGTTCAGTAGTCTGGCTGTATGTTTCAAAAATTATGTATGTTTCATAATTTTTGACTTTCATAGAATTTGCAAATTGTAATAATGAAAAACATTTTCCAAGTGCAACTTTATGTTGATTTTTTTTGCTTATTTCCTTCCTTAAATATTTGTTTATCTTTTTTGTACAATGAGATTAGAAGCCGCAAACCCAAATAGAAAATTGCAAATAAGTAATTTGCAAGTGGAAAAAATAGTCATTTATTTTTATATTTATGTTTTATGGCATCCTTTGATGAGTTAGTAGAATTTTTTTTTTAACTTTTCTATTCATTGTAAAAATAATGAAGGTATAGGAAGAAGTAAGGTAAAATAAATGAAGGAAAGAAAAGGTAGCTCCTGGAAAAGAAGAAAAAGAGTAACTAACTGCAAAATAATTTTATAAAAGTAATTTGTTTGAATCCCAGGTTCATAGGGTCTGCAAGCAATAATGCCTCCCATTAAAGAATGTCAGGAGCACTAATGTTGCTGAAGGTTGAATCAAATCATAGGAGACCTCTATGAGAGTCTTGCTTACCTCACTGACACTTCCTCCATATCTTGAACGTAGTTCTTTCAACTCATACATCTTGATTTACATAGATTGGTACTTCTAGCTGGTAAAGAGATAAATAAGACAGATAAAGTAAATAAATACATAAATATTACAGAGAATGTGATAAAATTTAATAGAGGTGTAAACGAAGTGTTGTGTTTCCTACAAAGAATATGTGAAGGAGTCATGCAAGAGGCAGCATTAAAGGCAGCCTTGAAGAATTAATAGGTATTGATAAATAGAGATGAAGAGAGGTGTTTTATGGTCTGAAGATATAGTTGGTTTTTCCACGAACCCACAGATGATTGTCCAGTACTGGGGATGAGATGGTGTCATGGTGAGAGTTAAAACTGAAAATATAACTTGAGATGAGATTATGGCTGACCTTCAGTGCCATGTTAAGAATTTGAACTTTTATTCTGTAGCAGCTGGGAAACATTGAAGGCTTTTGAGATGAGTAAGGGCATGATTAGAGCCTAAATTGTATCTTCCCTCCTTCCTTTTCCAGAGGTAACCACAATTCTTATTTTGTGTTTATCATTATCTGGCTTTTTTTTTTTTTAGTCACTTTGCCAAATAGGTATTTCCAAAAAAAATATTGTTAACAGTTTTACATAACTTGGAACTTTATATAAATATAAATATATTTCCAAAAAAAATATTGTTAACAGTTTTACATAACTTGGAACTTTATATAAATGGGCTTATTCTGTTATCGTTCTTCAGCAACTTGCTTTTCCACTCAACATTAAGTTTATGAGATTCATCCAATTGATGTATATACTTGTGGTTCACTGCTTTTTATTGCCCTAAATGCTTTATTCTTTCTTCTTTCAATGATCATTTGGATTGTTTCTCACTTTTTGTTATTATAACAATACTGTCATGGACATTCTGCACCTGCCTCCTGGTGTATATGTGCTGGAGTTTCTCTTAGAAGCTGGGCCATGAGAGTCGTGCCTCTTAATTTTGCAATACAATATCCAAAGTGATCAGACCAGTTTATGTTCAAGCTAGCATTTACCATTGTTCCATATCCTTACCATAAGTGTCTTTTTTTGTTTTGTTTTTTACTTATTACTTTTAAATAATTATAGATTCACAGGAGATTACAAAATTACATAGGCAGGTCCCATGTATCTTTAATCAGTTTCCCCCAATGGTAACATCTGGCATAACTATAATATAGTGAAAAACCCAGGAAATTGACAGTGGTACAATACACAGAACTTATTCAGATTTTACCAGTTTTATATTCACTTTATTTGTGTGTGTGTGTGTGTGTGTGTGTAGTTTTTATCACGTGTCTATTCATGTAACCATCGCCACAGTCAACATACAGAACTATTCCACCACCATAAAGCTCTTTCACGCAATCCATTTATAGCTATACATCCCCTTCCTTAACCCTTAACAACTTCTAATCTGTTCACTATCTCTATAATGTCATTTCAAGAATGTGATATAAATGAAATCATACAGCATGTAACCGTTTGAGATTGGCTTTTTCACTCAGCCAGTTCTCTTGCAATCCATCCTAGTATCACCACATTTTTTTTATTTTCATGTAGTATTTCATGTTATGGATATACCACAGTTTAACCATTCATCCGTTGAAGGAGATTTGGGTTGTTGTCAGTTTTTGGCTATCACAAATAAAGCTCTTACGAACATTGGTGTACAGTTTTTTGTGTGAACATAAGTATTCATTTTTCTGGGAGAAATATCAAAGAGTGCAATTGCTGGGTCATTTGATAACTATATGTTTAGTTTTACAAGAAGCTTCCAAAGTTGCTGTATTATTTTGTATTCCTACCAACAGTGTATGAATGATCCAGTTTCTCTGGATTATTTTTGTCAGCATTTGGTGTTTTCACTATTTTTTATTTTGGTTGTTCTGATAGGTGTATAGTAATATTTCATTGTAATTTGCATTTTCCTAATGGCTAATGATGTTGCATAACTTCATGTGTTTATTTGCCATCTGTATGTCTTCAGTGAAATTTCTAGGTTTTGCCTATTTTGTAATCAGATTATTTATAGTTGAGTTTCGAGACTTCTTCACGTCATAAATATCTTCTAAAATATTTGTATTTACTTTTCCTTGTCAATGTTTAGAAAACTAAATGTTTAAAAAGAGAACCACCTCAGCAAATTTATTCAAAGTTCGAATCACCACCCGTTGCAGCTGAGAAGGTAAGAGGAGGAAAATGAAGATACTTTTTCCAAAAAAACTCCTACTTTGTTCTAAGATCTCTTTAAATGCCGTCAGTCATTTGAAATTGTTATCAGCTCTTTCCCCAAAGTCTGCCAGTGCAAGTCATTCTGTTAATGCAAGTATGCAAAACCTCCTGCAGATGGTGCAACACTATGGGCCACACATTCTTCAGAAACCTGCTGAAGTTATTGAGCGTAGGTGTCTCTACAAGCCTAGAACAACTTCCCAGTGTAAAGCTGTAGCTCCTGACTCAAAAAAATCTATTTCCATTTGTGACAATTTGTCTGAACTTTTGGTGGCAATGCAAGATGAGCTGGACCAAATGAGCATGTAAGTATTTTATTCTTTATCAGAAGAAGTAGCAAAATATTTAGGTATCTTTTTTTCTTAGTCTTAAGAACAATGCTACTTATAAATTCTTAATGGCCTTACTTAGTCATTTGGACTTATTTTGATCTGCAGATTTGTTGTCACTGATTTTTCATTGTATTTATTGATACTACTGTATTTAAATTTTCAACTGTGTGTAATTACTGCTTTTCCAATCTAAGGAGTTTCTGTATTCCCAAAATCTGAATTTATAGACAAATATTACTGTCATGCTAATAAATAAGATCTGGTGATCTTAAATTATTTAACTTACAAAAGCTTTTATAAGAAAGGGTTTGTTTTTGTTTTTGTTTTTTTATAATAGCTTAGATAAATGAATGATTTTATTAGACAAATAGCAATATGATTTCTTGTTTTAGACTCTGGCTGGTCTGCATTACAAGTTTTGAAGCATCCCTAGTAAACAAAATTCTGTATGGGATACATATTTTAAGCCTCAAGTTTAAATATATATTCAGCAAAAATTCTGGAAAATATGTGATTTGGCTAGCTAGCTAGTTGAACTAACACCTCTATAGAAGATATAACTAGTTCTAGTAACAGTATTTCTTTCAGCAGACTATCACCTAATCTAGGGATTTCTCAGGCAAATATTTCAATAGCTGCAGTTCTTCCAAAGACCCTACAATAATAATTCTAAAGTTGGAACTAAAGAGATTCCTTTAATATCTCTAGCTAAGGACTTTAGAATATTTTGCTACATTTAACTATGACCGTCAAGAATTCAGACTTTTTTTTTAGGTTCTTTATGACCTTAAGTCTAAGATATTTCTAAATGTATCTAATCTCTAATCACAAGAGCCTGTTTATATTTACCATAGGTTTAATTAGATAATCTGAACTATAAAAAAGGACTGTCTTTGGAGATTAATATTTAACTCTAACTAAAATTTATGATTGAACAGAATGTTGTTTAATTATGGCAAAGACATATACCATAAACTGTAATGGTGCTTGATATTTGCTTTTCTGTCATAGAGAGCACCAAGAACTACTGAATCAAATGAAGGAAGCTGAAAGCCATTCAGTCTGTGAAGACTTAGAATGTGAACTAGAACATTTAGTAAAGAAAATGAAAATTAAAGAAGAACAAATTTCCAAACTGTTGAAGCATCAAGACAGTGTAAGAAGGCTTTAGTAAAAGATTTTAATAAAAAGATAATATACATAGATTCAGTGTTATATCTCTGTATGACCTTCCAAATTTGAGGTCTGTATGTGTGACTTAGTGATAAAATGATAAGAATCACTTGGGCTTATTATAGAATAAAGCCATCTATCCCATTGGAATAATATGTCCTCCTATGTAACTCTCCAAGATAATATAATGGAAAGGGAGAAAGTTTAGTTATGTATTCAAAAATATCTTTGGGAAAATTGTGAGATAGGCCGAATTTGCTTTGCAGGCCTCCCAGTTAATCTTTCAGCATTCTTTCCCCTTATCCCTCCCTCCCCTAATGCCTTAACGAAGCCCCTTATGTTGACAAGTCTCTTATTCATTTCCATACACAAACCTGGCTCCTTAAGCAGTACCCCAATCCTTAAACCACTATTTCCACTTTTCTGGAACAAGCTTGCTGTGTTGCATTACCTGAGGACCCGTGCTCAGCTAGCTATGATGAGTTGGTGAGGGGGACGCTATCCTTGCATGTGAATTCTTAATAACTAAGAATGGCATAACAATTTCAATATTTTAACAGTAGAATAATGAACTATTATAATATTTTATCCCAAGACAGTGACTCCATAGGTTGGATTAGTAGGATCATTATACTGCTAGAGCAGAAGACAGAGGGAGTCTTTCCAGAAACCCTCAAGTCTCATTGCGTAGCTATCTGCCTATATAGTAATCAACATTCATATAAATTGGAGATATTTTAACCTCACAATTAAGCCTCCCCCACTTTTATAGGGCAATAATAAAGGATGCAGAATTTTATTATCTTTATTTTATTATTCTATGGCCAATAAAGAAAGACCTAAGAAAATGAAAGTTTTGAAACATATTTTATTTTCCTGAATTTTAAGAATATAATAAGTAAAAAATTTTGTATGATTGTGTTAGGGTGAAGATTGTATAACTTGTTCACTTAGAATCGCATAGAAGAAACGAAGGGAATAGAAGAGTAGTCATATTTTTAAAATTTAGGCAGTCTATATGTTATATTTTGAAAAATATTATTTATATTCCATAACAGCTATAGCAGTATAAGTTATAAGTGTTTTATCATAGTAAATTTAATGTCTGCAATTAAAATGACCTTAGACAAATAAAACAGGTATTTAGCCAGTGTCTGGATCAGCTCTACCAATTAGGCCTGTGCATAAATAAGACTAAGTAAACCTCAGCTTCTCCAGCACACATTCATCTTGTCCTACTTTGTCCTCACATATACAGTTTTTGTCCTACTCAAAGTTATCCCAACTTGAATTATACTCTAGTCATCATGTATATGCTTTTCTTTCACTAATAAGAGCAATAAACTCCTTGAAAGCAAGGATTGTTTTATTCATTATATTTCTACTTGACTAGCACAGTGTTAGGCATATAATAGATATTGAATAAATAAAAACTAAATGAGCTTTTTAATTTCATGTAATCTTTAAATCATCAGTCCATCTATTACAGGGTATATTTTTAATGTTTTTGACTAAAATGTTGGATTTTTTTCTCTCTAGGTCCGTAAACTGCAGCAAAAAGTTCAAAACCCAAAGATGAGTGAAGCTTCAGGTATTCAGCGAGAAGATAACAACCCTAAAGGATCAAAGAACATAAAAAATAGCCCCAGAAAATGTTTGCTAACTAACTCTCTTCAGAAGAACAGCAACTTTCATCCAATACGAGTCCATAATCTTCAAATGAAATTGAGAAGAGATGATATCATGTGGGAACAGTAACACGGTAGCAAAACTGTCACCTTAAATGAACTTTGTCAATGAGATCTTGAATGTCTAAAGTGGTTTTAATTTAATATACCTTTATGAAATTTTGAATTATGTTTCTAGCCTCTATAAAGTGTCAAGTTATAGTATTTTTTAATGCCTGACCTCCTAAAAGTCCCAAATAATAAATGATTGCTTTTTTGTTTTTCTTAATGACTAAAATGCCTAATCTCACCATATTTTAGCAACATTGTTCACTTTTCATATATCTTAAGCTAAATCTAAGAAATTATACTGGATCAATGATATTTAAAATTTAGTTAAATTTGAAATGCCATTTGAAGTACCAGTTTACTTTTTCATTTAGTAGGTTTGTAACCTTAAGAACCAGTATAAAATGAACAGAGTACGGAAGGTCTTAACCTTCCAAGTACTTCCTCTCTATCTTGTTTTAGAGCTGTGAAGTGTTTTTTCGTTTTTTAGGGTTTTTTTGGAAAGGGAAAAACTTGGTGAGCAGGGCTTTAGCCCACATTTCTATGAGTTACAGATAAGAACACACTTAATTTTTAGATGACAACTCAACTGCAGAAGCTTTCCTCTGCTACTCTTATTCTCTTTTACAAATCTAGTTTTATGACTACATCTTTTGATGACTTAGTTTTTGCATTTTATATATATAAGGAAGTATAGGAAGAAGTTGGACATTTCATTACCTCTTCTAGCTAAAGTTTGGGGAAATATGGTACATTCTTATTTTTTTATATTTTTAAATCTGTGCTGTAATAAGAGATTTCTTTGTGTGTATATGCTTTATAATGAATTTGCACTTGTTGACCTATCTTTCCAGAAGCCTATGGAAACTAGTACAACTCTTCTGAACTTTTCTGGTTTCTCACTGAAATCCTTTGGGACAACTAAAGAATTGGAATCATCAACTTAAGTAAAAATAAATGACAGAAAAAGCGTAATAGAAGGGAAGAACTCAAAAGATAAGATAGCAGTTTAAGAGGTGATTCTAAAGGGACAGAGTTGAAGGTACATCTTTACTGAATCCACAGCTTAGGGAATGTTCATGCTATAGATGTAAAAGAATTTTTGGTCAGAATCTTGGGGAGCTAGGAAAAGCAATTTTAAAAGACAGTCTTTTTGTCCTAGGAAATTCCCCAAAAGTGTGTGTAGGAGAAAGGGATAATTGCGGTCCTTCTGGAGTGGGCAGGGAGCGAAGAGAACTATGATTCATTCTCAGTGAGAGAAGATGTGCCATGTTAGAAGACCTTTCCATACCTAAAGTGGGAAGATGACTGAAAATGGGCAGATTGATACTTGGAATTGTTCTTGAAAATAACTGATGGCAGAGATATGTTTCTCTCCCTTTGGTTTAAACAGTACAGGTGTCCTTCATCCAATTTCACTCCCTCTGTATCAGCTCCATCAGCCCCAGAGATGGTCCACAGAGTGCCTCCTCTAAACTCTGTTTCATCACCTTTCCTATTTTTCTATGTTGCCTTTCATTGTCAAGAATGTGAGTTATATAGTTTATACTTAGGGAAAAAAAAAAAAACTTCACCAGAATCATAATGCAGCCCTATCTTTCTGTGCTTCATTTTCTATGCATTTAAGAAGATGGCTGAATATATTTAGCTTATTAGTAGTGAAGTCATTACTTATAAAAATGTATTTCTAAAACAAAATACCATAAAAAATTAAAGTAATTTTAGGAACACTTGAAGATTTAGATGAAGAATTTAGAATTTTCTTGAAAAATCAGTGTATTGTACAGGATTTCAGAGTTGGGAGACTTGAGTTCAAATTGTGACTCTAACACTTAGTAGCTTAGGCAATTAAATAACTTTTCGGAGCCTCCATTTCTCATTTCTAAAGTGGAGATTATATTATTACCTACCTCACAGGGTTGTTGTGAGGAGTAAATGAAATAGCATGTTAAAGCACATAGCAGAAAGGTTGGCATTGAGTAAAAATAAATGTTAAATCTGAGTGGCAAAAAAAATTGTCAAAAACCTAAGTTTATGTGACTTAAAGCCTGAAAGCAAAAGCCAAAATGTATTCGTCATAAAAGTGGGAATATTCTAATTAACTTGTTTTTTTGAGAGGGGAGACTTGCTTGTTCATTTTTTATTGTTCTGTGTGACTGTGGGGAGATTCACTTTGACTTTTCCCTAGGTCAGGTTTCTAGCAGGAGCGGGTAAAGAATACAGTGCTGCCGTGGTGCAGAAATACATAATCACACACAACAACTTGGTTTGGAGTCTGTTTTGGTTGTTGGGGTGACATTTCTTATTGAGAGACAAGAAAGAATTATCTCTTGTTGTTCCATCACAGCTACTGAGCTACAAATGTTTCTAAGCTCACAGACTGCTGCTTGCCAGAGCCTTTCACTCCTCCTCGGGGTGGAGCAAACGATTTCCTTCCTGGCCCCGGGCAGTCCATGGTCAGTGTACTAGAGTCGCTGTAGCAACCCAGTAGCTGTGCTCTACCTCGCAGAAACCTGGTGGAGTATCGCTGATTTTGTTCACTTAAGTGAAAAACAGTTTTGTTTGTTTTTTTAATCAGAGGTTGAAAAAGTAAAACTAGAACTTTCTAGCCAAGACAGGTCTCAACTTTGATGAAACTACGAAACTAGAGTGTTTGAAGCAGCAGGTATTGTGAATATTCTAATCTTGGAAATAGGAGTTGGAATCTTGAATTAACCGTACTTGTTTGGGTCATTGAAACTCAGCCATTTTTATTAGGTTGTAGCTAAAGGTAGGAGGGTCAAAGGAAAATGCTCAGTTTTCAACAGTGTAAAATTAAGGAAGGAGATACTTAATATACTGAAGTAGCAGGCTGGGATGGTGTACTTCAAAATTATTTTTGAGCTTTTTGTATAGCTTTTAAAAATATAATTTTAACTACAAAGTAGTATTCTTAGTCTGTTATAAGTTATCGAAAATTAAATTAAATTTTGACTCGTAATGTGAGAAATCAAACTAAAGGGAAAAGGCCAGTTGGTCATGCGTGATGGAGGATGTGCTCTCCATGGCCCCCATGGCCAAAAATGCACCAGCTGCCATCGTTGGTGTGGAGCACATAGTGAAACTCCTAATGGGGCTTCCTGGAACTCTAGTCAGCTGTACTGAAAGTTGTAGCTACTCAATATCTAATTGCATGTGAGATTTAGATAAGTACAAGCTGACTCCCAGAAGTACAAGACAAGTCTCTAAAGCATAATAGCATCTGTAAGATAAAACAACTATGGTGCCATGGCACCTTTTATTTAAAGCAAAATGAAGATAAAAGTATTGATTGTCACTGATCTGAAAATGAATTTACTTCTTGATGATTAAATAGACTTTGCCAATGCCTTAACCATTATCTTCATGACCTATATGATTATTTTCATATAACTTTCCACCTTTAATTCCCTTTTTGTGTTTTGTTATGTAAGAATTCATCATAACAAAATTATAAAGTACAGTTTTAAAATATTGTCTAGATCAGAGTTTGTTTTTATTAAATATGTAGATTATTTGTTTACTTAAAGAATCAGGTGGGTTTTGTTTTCTTGGTGGGTGTTTTGGGAGTGTTCTCCTTATTGATATAGAGTCATTGAATTCTCATTTGGTGAGGATCCTACTAGATATCATAGGCAATCAGAATTATAAATGAGCATTACCCCCCCCAAAGAAATGTATTTCCTATTATGTATGCATGTTCCATGGTATACCCATGTGTTTAACAGTTTTAGTAGAACATAGTAGAGAAGTAAATTGACCTTATGTTACTTTATGCTCAGAGACCATTTTGTAACAATATAAAACTTGTTAGTGACCAGTTCTATAGTCTGTAATGTTGAGAGACTGCATTCAGGGGTTGGTGGTTAGAAGAAGAATGTTGGGCATTATCAATTATTAAAGGAAAGTAAAAAGTTATTTGAGTGATAAAATCAGCTTTCTAGAATCTTTTAAAATAAGGTTGATGTTAGCTACCGTACTTTATGCCTAGATTTTCCTGCCTAGATTTTGCTCTTCTAGTTTTCCTACATTCTTTAGGTCTCAATTTATTGCTTCCTCTCAGAAGCCCTCTTTAAGCCTCCACTTCACATCCCTGCCTTCTCCCAAATCTAGCTTAGCTGCCACTTCTATATATTTCTCTTGTCTTTGCACTTAGCACACTTTCTTGTTATTGTTTGTCTTCCCTATAGGCTGAAAGCTCCCTGAGGGCAAAATTCTTTCTTGCTCACCACTTGTAGCCCAGTATCTAGCATCATCCCTGGCCCATAAGTAGCTTCTCAATAAATATTTGATAACTTATTTCATGGAAATATATTAACCTGATTTGGTGGTCTCAACTGAGTACATTGGTTCAGGTACTGCTGTTTCAAATACTAGTTCAGCTACTCTGCTGTTTCACCTTTCAAGAATATGTGACCATATTTTACATAAACACTGGTTAAGATTATTCCAGTAATTTACTGTTTGTTTATTTGGGGGCACAGACAATGGGCAATCTAAATGATGCTTTCTTTTTATATTATGATGCTAAGAGGAAGAAGTTCAAGAGCCAAGGTAGTTCTTTATTTGTATATTAGAATGTTTGACTTGTTCATTTAAGAAATATTTATCGATCTCTAATAATCAACTATTTGTTGATCTCAAGATACTGTACTAGATGCTATGGGAGATTCAAAGACAAATTATGCATGGATTCTGTCTTTTAGTCGCTTATGATTTGATAGAGATAACGAGACATATATATAATACAAGGAAGAAAACATGTAACATTAAAGATATAATGACTAGAATAGAGTAGATGCTCAACATATATTTCTCTACTAAATATTTTTTCTAATCTGTTGATTAAGTTAGCCTGTTTGTATTTCTTTATTCTCTCTCTTGATATAAATAGCTTTCATCTGTTTTTTTACCTGGTAGCAGTGTTGATCTAGGATTCTTAATCTGTAGATTTGTTGATTAGATCCAGTTTGCCAAGTAATTTTAACTTAACTGTCCACATAAACAGTATCAAATTCAAAGTCATGAGTAGAAAAAATGGGCATGAAACACTAAAGGAAATAGGAAGGGAGTGGAGAGTGAGAACCAGAAATCAAGCAATAATACGTTAGACTAAAACAGCATAATATGCAGAAAGTTAATAATATACAAAAGTTATATTCTAGAGTCAATTATTGACTTGCACGGAATATGCAAATGATTGCCACTCACTTCCCTTATGAATCTAAGCCACTTGATTTCCTCATATTTCATCTTTCTCATCTGTTAGACCAAGTCATTGTTTTTCAAACTGCAAGTTATATCCTGTTAATGGATTGTGAAATCAGTTTAGTAGGTCACTAACAACATATTTGAATGATATAGAATAGCATTGAAAATATCAGAGTATATCACTCATAGAGAAGGTAGCCAATGTTTTGTGAAACTTTGTGAGTACTGGATTATAATTTAAAATGTAGTCCTAAATGTTACTTGGAGAAGAAAAATTGGCCATTAATGTTCAGAGAATGAATTTGAAAGATGTAAAGGAAAGTGAGGTAATCAGTTTAAAATAGGAATACCCCCAAGTGCCCTGCTATGGCAATCTATTCAACCCAGAAATACTATTACAAATCTCTTGTATGTTTTACAAATAGAAGTCCTAATTAATACTATTACATTGCCTGGTCTATAGGATACTCTTTTCAAACACCACTACATTACAAAAATGTTGCTTTTCTAATGTGAACACGTTATATTTAACATCAATCCTTTAACAGATGACCTCATTATTCCTCAGCCATTTTTGCTATCTTGTCACTACCTCTGTGTAGAATCTAACCAAGTATGGGTCTTATGGTTAAGAGAGAAATTTGGTAAGCAAGTACTGGAGACAGTTTTAAAATTCATAAAGATATGAAATTTGCAGGTGAAAAACTGTGTGCATGTCTTGAATCTGAAATGAACAGAGGTTTATCCCTTCAGAAACCCTTTTGTCTGAGCATTAACAATCAACAGCACTAAAAAAACTTAATAATCAATATACTATCAAATGTGGCCATCTTTAAAAACGTCATTTTACTGAGCAGTAGACCCAGTAAAATATTTTTATTTTTATCTATTTATTTTTTTTTATGCCTACAGCACCTGGTCTTATAAAATATTTTTATCTATTTATTTTTTTTATGCCTACAGCACCTGGTCTTCCTAGGTGGTCTCCCATCCAAGTACTAACCAGGCCTGACCCTGCTTAGCTTCCAAGATCAGGCACATTCAGGGTGCCTTGACCATAGACTTAAAATATCTTTAAATGAATGAGTGGAACATAGAAATATCTTACCTGAAAAGCAGCTTCATTAAATAAAGTAACTACTGACTGAGAGACTGTATATCTCTGACTTTTGCTATTGCACTCAACATCAGCCCTGAGCTATGATTAGAACGTAGGAAGAAGTGCCATTGGGAAGTAAGCATTAGGAAGATGTTAATAACAGGATTCTACCCACTTGTACAAGTTTATTCACCACTACAAATTATTAAAGTTGCTTAAATAGTTAAAAAGATTTAAGTCTTTGAAAAGAGGAACATAAAGTGAGCCAGACCTAGTCATAGCTAAAATAATACTTTTGACCTAATTTTGCTTAATCCAATTAAGTAAATTTTAAGATAATTTCTGGAAAACCTTGTAAGGTATTTTTTCAGTTAGTTTTACTTAAAATTAAATGTACATTGACTTGTAGGGTATTTCTTAGAAAAAAAATCTATTCCTGAACTAGTACAGAATGTGAAATATTTCTTGCCTGAAATATAAGATTAATGTTTACAGATCAGTTGCCCAGAATCTTCTTGCTGAATTGGAAAGTATTTCACTTTTCATCACTATAGGTCCTTTTAACTTTACAAATGTGTTATTTAAAACATAAGCTGTATTGGTACACAGGAAACCCATTTAAAATTAAATTTAAAAACACTCCTGAGAATTCTATGGAACACTTATGATTTTATATTTTATAGTTTCTAGCAAAAGAAAAAGTATCTTTAGTACCTTAAAAATATTTTTTCAGAGATAGCTAAATCCAAAATCTGTAGTATATGTGAAAGAATAGCACTATTAATATCTTAAATATTAAATGCTTGAATATAACATAAAAAGCGTTATTACCTTCATTTTAACAAAACAACTAAGCTACAAATTTAAAGCTGGGAAATTCAGTACCAGAATTAAAAGAATTTCTAGGTTATAAATTTCTTTTTTTCTCAAT